AAGAAATATACACGAAGATGTACACCATGAAATGTACACTCAGTATAATTCTTATCCCTAACAACACTAACATTCTTTAATCCATTTTTCTCGAAAACTTGAATTACAAGAAGACTAATCCCAGAGGAAGCTTCGTGGCAGGATTTTCTATGTTTGAAAATCAAATGACTTTTGAAATCTCCTAGTAATTAGTGATTGTTCCGATTCGCAGAACTCGTGACACGCACAAAAAATTCTAATTTTGACCGAGTAAACGCCATTTTGCTCAAATTATATTTCAATTTTGAACAAGGAAAAAGTGACCACATAGAAATGAAATTGATCATTCGATGGAGTTGTCAATGCACTTAATAATTTAGTGGAATGCACATTTTCAAATACCATTTTAGATGTGAGAAATTTGAATAGAAATCAACCAATTAGAATTGATAACGGTCATTAAACAAATCATAAATTCTCGAGACCGTACTCAACTTTGTGGAAGAGATGCACACGAAATCATTAGTCTCTACACTCTACTTATTTTAGCGGAAAATTGTATTCCATTTTCAAGACTTTTTGTTTGTTTCATAGTGGGGTGTTAAAAGACATGTAAAGATTTTAACGATTTTTTTGAATATGTAATATACATACTATTATTTTTTTCATTTATAATTATTGGCAATCTTATGATTAAATTCATGCCCTTTTAATTTATGACATCATCCTCAAATAATTTTTTACAACATTTTATAGTTGACTAGTGTCAACGAGGATAATGATGTAGTTTAATTGAATACGCAGCTGGTGCCTTGTTATCCCATGTGTGCAAATTTTGGCTTGTGGTACACCTCATTCTACGACCACCACAATTTTTCTCCCACCGAAAATTTGAATATTTTTCATCATCCAGGTTCTCTACTATGCCACATATCGACATTTACAAGCCTCCAAAGTTAAAGAAATAGTAATATTATATTGCACTATCGATATTTTGCATCAGTCAGATTCCATATTTTATGATCGTTCGACCGATTTCATTGTGTAAAGTTGTATAAGGTAGAGAAAGATGTCATAATATCAAGTTGTAGTTCAATTTATGTGACAATATCGTCACTGTCACATTGTTAAATGAAATTATAATACATTTTTATTCATTGAACACTGTAATAGTGATCTTATTGCAATGTAGACGACAATTCAAACTATCATATACTATATGGGTAATTAGATGTAATAATGTGGAAAAACTTGCGAAAATATCTAGATTTTTATTCACTTCATCCTAAAAATAAGGAGAAAATTTGTTGGCAAGTGAAAAAAAATTATACAACCATAAATTTTGAAAAATTAATTATTCAAATACTCTAATTTTTGTCTTAAAAAATTAATTGTTCTAAAGAGCCAACCATGTATCAGTTTTATAATTTTTTTAGTTAATTCCAATATGTTTTTTATTTTTTTATTTTTTTGGAGGGATCGCAATTTTCGCATCAAGCCACGTTTATGGGAAGAAAATTAAGCATATTTAGAGGGAGCATAAAGCATGACGAGCTAACCCTGATTCCCAAAAGTATTTAATGGGGTTGAACACAAAAGAAATTGAGATTTTATTAAATATTAATATAAGGTATGGCAATCCAAAATGGGTTGCGCTCCTTGTACACCTGAATGTCAATTCAGAGTACAGCCGTCAGTCCCTCTTATAGAAGAGGGATCCCACGATTTGGTGTCAAGCCTAGTGTACAAATAACATTTCCCATTCAAAACATTACTCGATCCATTATATAAATATAGATTTGCCTTCTTCTTTTATTTGTCTTAAATTACAAGTCATTTTCTTTATTTAAAGTATGTATAATTGATTTTTTAATTTACTAATATGCCACTATTTATATACATTGTCATCAATAAGACTTAGCACTAGTCTATGTGATAATTAGATGACAATAAATGATATATTCATTTAAATATAAATTCAAATTATTCATTTAATTAAATCTATCAAGTGTGACCACACTTCAACTGGTGCTAGATAATATTATTCTATCAACAAGTATGATTCACACATATTTAATTTAGGGATAGTTGCAGCTGAGACTCCAAACCTTTCAAAAGATTGTAGACTTTCCACTAATCTTTCATTTATTGTACCCGGTACTCCAAATTTTTCAAAAGGTTGCAGATGAAGCCCAACGGATGGATTTGTTGAGCAAAAAATTGGACTTTGACCACATTTTAATCAATTATAAAAGAACAAAATAGTAATTTTATATTTTCTTTATATTTTTTACATTAAACAAATTTAATAAAAAACATCAAGAAAAGAAAAAGAAATTAAAATAAAAAGGAAGAAGAAGACTCTTCGCTACTTTCCTATCTCCGCCGACAAAAAGAATTGTTATAGCATACCCGCTGGCGTCGGCCACTACTTTTGGACGTTCATTGTTTATGACGGCAAATCCCATTCACCTTCTTTTGATGTCTCCTTTGAGGGTACTTTAGTCTTTTCCTAGCACTACCCATGGCCCAAATCTGTTTCTCGCTCTGACGCTTGCTCAGATCTCTTCTTTTACTTGAATGATTCCGAGACAAATATATGTTTTTACAGCATTGCCACTGATTCCCCCGGTTGTTGGGTCCCTAGAACTAACCCAAATTGATCCCAATGCTTACCCTTTTCACTAGACCAAAAATTCTAACAATTACATATTGTTGAGTTATGGTAGATTTTCATTTAGGTCAGATCAATGGGGACCAAATTTAGCAATGACACAGATTGTTTTGGCCGGTCTTGGTAATTAGGTGTTGATTTTTCAAGTAGGATCCGTGGCCATTGCTACTGGAGCGACATTCAAAGCCATTTCATCTATAAAAAATGTAGTAAACGTGGAAACAAGTCCAAATTATTTTCCCGGAAGCTGTATCAAAACGCATTGACTGTGTTAAGGGACGGTGGCGCGGCGAGGTGGTGGTGAAGGTAGATTTCCAGTTTTTGGTTGAGGGGTTGGTGTTGGGGTGGGGTAGGGTAGCGTGGGGTTTGGGGGCGAGGGAGGAGAAATATTTTTTTCCTTTTTATTTTATTTATTTTTCTTCTTTTGTTGTTTTTTATTTAAGTTTTTTAATATGAAAAATATAAAGTTATTATTTTGCCCTTTTATGATTGATTAAAATATGGTCAAGTTCTAATTTTTTGATCAATTAATAGAAATATGGATGGAACCTATCCGTTGGGGCTTCATCCGCAATATTTTGAAAGATTTGGAATGACGATTGTAACAAATGAAAGGTTAGTAAAAAGCCTCCAATCGTTTTAAAGGCTTAAGGTCTCAACTACAATTATTCTTTTATTCAATGTAGATGTATATTAGAGTAATAATAAAAATGATCTTCTATCCATAGTGGGTAGAATAAAATATGTTCATCGTTAATGTGGTGTTGGCACGTCAGCAGTGCGTAAGATAACTCTTATCGATCATAGGTAGGAGATTATTTCTGATTAGAGTAAATGTAAGTAAAATTTATTGTCCCTACTATATTAATTATATTTTGTTAACTCATATGAAAATTGAAGTAAGCCTATTTTTATAATACATAAAGAGCTTTATCAATGACATGATTAATACTATAATAAATAAGATTTCATCTCTTTTTTTTTTTTTTATAAAGAATTTCTGTTTTTGGTTCTGCTTCCTGAAAAAGTCATTTTCACATAAAAACTCTTCTAACTAAACAAAAAATTTTAAAAAATTATCCAACATGTCCGAAATAGCTTCTTAATCTCATAAACAATTTTTGAATTTCAAAAGTATGTCAAACAGATCATTTATATATCATATAAATTTAATGATACCTAAATTTACTATGCTAATGCTATAATATCAATATGTGAAAATTTTTATAAAGTAACATATTGTATATTAATAAATGATATTTATTTTAAAGTCTCAAACAATATCCAACAAATTGCAATTCCACGACTAGTAGTGACTAGTGAGGTAGTTGTTGCTCGAAGAAGGTACAAAATGGAAATTTGAAATTTAATTTTAAGAGTCCATTCTACATTTTTCCCATAAACTCAAAACTCAATAGGCTAAGGTTCCCTACAACAACTGTATTATGTAGCCTTAAATTGACTGTTGACAAGTTATATAACAATTAGGTAATGTGTCACTAGTTAATTTCAATGTCCCAAAATGTCATTATAGTAAAATGCCCAAATGGCATTGTGGGAAATCTAAGAAATATTATCTTATAAAATAATTACATGAATGGTAATATTGTCACCATAATCTTATTTGATAACTACATTTTAATTGTTGTTAAACTCCTTAATCTTTGTTTATTGTAGAAATTATTTACTTAACTTTTTTTTCGGTCGAATTCTTATCTTCAATATTCCATTAATTAGTATGTTTTGCCTTTGATTATGATTTATAACAAAATATGTTGTTTTCATGGTTTGAAATGGGCAAAAAATATTTTTTTTTCACAATTTTAATTTACTTATTTTTTCAAAATATGTGCCATTTCAATGAACTTGTAGACATAAAACTGTTATCCAATATAAATATGTTAACTTATGAAAAGTTTAATGATAAGAATGACATAAAAAATTGTTAGGGACAAAAATACTATAATGAGTAAAGATTAAGAACCTTAAGTGCAATTAAAATGTAGTGTAAGACATAAAAAAAAAAAAAAATTGTGATGTGAATATAATTACCTATTTGCATTGGTAATTAATCGTACCCACACAAAATTTTATTATGCTGCGTTACATTTTAATTACAATAAAAAGTACTTAACTTTTTGTGTAACAAGATATGCTAAATAATAGAAGGACAAATTTAAGCACATGAGGAGTCATAGTTAGAAATATAAGTACAATTGAAAAATAAAGATTAAAGACCTATATTAAAATTTAAATGTGTTGCAAGATAAAAAAAAATAATAAAATAATAAAAAAAAATTGTAACAATTCATATATATGGTGTACCAGAAAATAATTTGATCCCATGTAACTGACAGATTTCTTAGTCTGCATTTGCTCCTCTCTGCTTTCTTTCACAAAAGTCTACTTCTTCTTGTCTGATTCTAACTTTCTCGCATTAAAAGTCGTACAAAATTTGATTAAAGAAAAAGCCCACAAAATTTTCAACTTTCAATCGGCCTCTCTCTTCAATTTTTCAAATATGTCAGTTCCACAAGCACCAAAAAGGCCAGATTCTTTAACTACTTGGTTCTTCTCCTATACAAAGCTAAGGTTCTTCAGTCGCATGCGGCAGTTCCTCCACCTCAAGGCGGCCAAGAAGCATAACAAACTGCTGGAAAAAGTCGAAAAACCTGTAGATACAGATATACATACAGAGGCAAATATGAGAGAAGAAAGTGATTGGGTGGTGATTTTGCAAAGGTCTGTGAAGAGTCTTCACTTTGGGAGCTGGGAAGAGAAGGAGGTAGCAGCAGAGGAGATTAAAAAACTGGCGAAAGAAGACTTGCCGCGGAGGAAAACCATGGCGGAACTCGGTGTTATACCACCGTTGGTGGCCATGGTTGGTTCAGAAGTGGTGGCGCGTCAAAGATTAGCTGTTCAAACGTTAATTGAGCTTGCTAATGGCTCTTTCACGTAAGTTGATATAATTCTTATGTTTTACAGTCTCTAATCATAATTTATTCTTATGCTTTATTTGCGGTTTTTGGTTTAGTTTATAATTCAGTTTCTTAATCAATCTGGATATGATCAAAATTCAAGCGTGATGAAATTTTCCAACTTTTCTATTTGAGCGGTCCAAAAAAATAAAAAATAAAAATCCACTTATGATCTTTAGTGTCCTGCTTTCTTTTCCAACTACTTAATTAGGTTTGATTTAAAGATAAATAAATCTTTTTTGTAAGAAAATCGGGTACTGTTCTATTAGTTGCATAAACATAAATTCAAGGATTATCCTTGATGAGCAGTGCTACATGTACACTTACCTCATTAGCACCCTTTAC